CCCAACCCCAAAATGCAATCCGAGCAACCGACCGACCAAACCCACCCTATCCCCAACCCATCCCCCGACCGACCCTGCCCTACGTGACCCCACGCTACCCTACCGTACCCAACCCACAATCCAGCACAAAACACAGAAACCAACACCAACCCAACCGACCGACCGACCGACTGAGCCAACTCACCCTATTTCGAACCCAACCCAACCCGCCCCAAAACACAACCCGACCGACCGACCGACCAAACCCACCCTACCTTCTACCCTACCTTATCATACCCTACCCCACCCTACCCAACCAAACACAAAACCAAACACAACCCGACCCCAAAACACAACCCGACCAACCGACGGACCGACCGACCGATCGACCGACCGACCGACCCGACCCGATCCTACCCTACGCTATACTTCACCCAATCCAATCCAACCCAAACCACAATCCAACGCCAACCCGACCGACCGTCCGACCGGCGAACCAAACCCACCCTCTACCTCCAACCCACCCCAACCCGCCCCAAAACACAACGAACCCGACCAACCAGCCGACCAAACCCACCATACCCCACCATACCCCACCCTACCCCAACCCCAGCGACCGGCGACTGACCGGGCGACCGACGAAAGAAAAAAGCACTCACTGGATCGATTGGTAGCCGTGAGGTTTCTATAACAGACAGACCACAGCAGCTAGCTGCACACAGCAGTAGCCCCCCAAAAAAAACGATTTGGCCTATTCTTTGTGTGCCGCAGCCGGTTGCGCCGCCACCTCCTCACGCACACTGCGCCACCGTCGCGGCCGCGCTGCGCGCTGGGCGCGAGACACGGCGCGCAGCACCTTGTTGTGTGCCTTGGTCTCCCTCCTCGCGAAAGAGCCGCAGGCTGAAACATCGAACAGCGTGTTTTTGAAAAGGGACGACAACAACAACGACGACGACGGCCTACAAAGTTTTGTTTGATGGTATACAGATTATATATACAGTATATAGATTGATATATGGAGGGATAGGGGCACTGTGCCCTGAATAGCGGCATGTTTTGGCGTGCCCCTACATGCCGTTATATCGGGCCACCTGCTGTAAAACTATGTGCGATATCTCTGGGCGAGTTCTACTTACGGTCTGGTAGTGACTCCGTAGGTCTAACCGGTGTTGAAGGCTAGGACACACCTCGCAAGGCCATGCATGCATGGCCGACATTTCGAGACTTGGTTACACTTTGATAGTAACTCTTTAGGACTAACCGATGTTGCACGTAGCAAGGCTAGGTTCTTCACGCGAGCAAGGCTAGGTTGCTCACCCCACATCTACCCTAACCCTAACCCTAACCCTCACCCTCACCGACATTTCGCATCATTGTTTTGGGGCACCACAGAAAAATCTCAGGTCTACCGCGCACCATTCTCAACTCTGCGTAGCCCCGTTGCGGAGATCGTCGCCTGATCAGATCGGGACAAGGAACAAGGAAGCAGAAGGTATTACCAAAAGGTGCACACGCTACAGCCGCGCAGTTTGGAGAGGTGAGTGCAATCAGGGTTGTTGGTTACAAGCATCTCTGTCTTGTTGGTGGGTAGGTGTGAGTTTCTCGGGCGACATGTAAGACGTATTGAGAGGAACACGCTTCTTGAAAGATAAGAGCTCCTTGCGAGCGCCGCTGCTGCTGCGGTCTACTTCCTCCTCGTGGTCGCATCAGGAAGTCTACAAAGGAGAGAGGCAGCCTCTATTGGAGGGCGAGGATCACTTAATTCCTACGGCAATTGCTTCCCTTGAAGTCCGAAGGGTGTTGCGCGTCTCTCTCTCTCTCTCTCTCTCTCTCTCTCTCTCTCTCTCTCTCTCTCTCTCTCTCTCTCTCTCTCTG